CTTTATTTTTTAAGGAGAGTATTTTTGCTCACAATCATAAATTATGATGTATGCTCATTATCTTATTTATCGTCATTAGATGAGTTGAATTTCAAAATTCGTGTAGTGGATAAACTCTCTTTATTCTCTCATCTCTTCTTCCTCTCTTTTCTCTCTTCCTTCTGTTTCTCTTCTCTGCCGAGAGTTGTGTGTGTCAGCTCTCCTTCTCATTCATTTTTATAAGCAAAAGATTACTGTAGCAACAATATTTATTTTACAAATTTAATAGTGAAAATACTGTGTATAAATAGTAATTTATCCGTTTTTCTTCATATGAATAGTAACAAACTATTCATATGGACCATCCACATATTATATTACAACATAAGCATAATTGATCACATCTTAAATTTGCTTTTAGGCTAGAAATTAAATTCATGGGAAATAATTCTCATATCTCTTCTCCAAGGAGATGGAAAATGAAAAGTTTTATCCTATATTTGGTAATGATAGGAAGGTGACAAGAAAGTACCCAAAATTTTGAAATATAATACACATTTTAAATTATCGATGTGATGTGTTGGTCGTAAAAGAAAGTAATTTATGCTTATTGAGATTTTTATGAAGAAATAAATGATTTCCCAAGGACAACGGAGCACTTTATTTTGCTCCCTATTTTCTCATAATCAAGGAAATCATTTCTCAATCATGGCCTATAACTATAAACATGAAAATTCTCCACAAAAAAAAAAAAAAAATGCAACAATTTCTCATTCCGGAATCTATTTTTCCCGCAAACCAAACAAGCCCTTATAGATCCCGCAAACCAAACAATTGGACAAGCGTCAAACTAAGGAGGAATCACATTAGTTCTTTTTAGCAGGAGATGCTGCTAATTGTGAGCAATCAAGCTTTGTTCATATTTTTTTAAGAAAACTAAAGAAAAATTTAAAAAAACTTTAGTTTTAATAAAAAATGACAAATAAAGATGTGGTGAATAGTACCAAAAAAATATAAAAATATGATTTTTAGTTGAAAATAAAAGTGTTTCGTTAAAAAACTCTATTTTTTCTACTTTCTTTCTTGATGTTTGTAAACTTTTGGCCTGTAGGGAGAAAAAGATAAAAAAAAGCTAGCAGAGGAAAGTAAATAAAGCAATTTGCGAAAAGGAAGTTAAACATATTTCTGAGAATTTGATAGCACCTAACAGAGGCTACTATTTTTGCATTTTTCACTGGCCATATATGGGAAGAGAATCATCTTGGGATTCATTTTGTGGGGATTTTATGAATTTCTATATTTTAATTATTTATCGTACATTGTGAAATTAGTTTTCGTCAGATACTATTTGTGTTTAATTTTAAATAAAAAAAATTAAATAATTTATCAATGCACAATACATAATGAATGATTAAGATGTGAGGATCTTAGATCCCTAAAATCTTCATAAAGTGGATCCGGATGAGATCCATTGACCCGCTTCTCTGCCCTCCCAATTCTCATATACTCTCATCTTTTTCTATTTTGTGCGGTCACGATTAAGCCACGTCAATATTTTATATTGATTTTTTATAGAGATAATAAGACAAAAAATAATAGTTATATAAAATATTGACATGCTTTAACCGTGAACAAATAAATAAAAAGAGATGAAAATGTATGAGAACTGAGAGAGCAGATAAGCCAGGTCCTGAGATCCACTTTCCATATATGTAGTCCAAGTTAAAATTAAGCCAAAAAAAGTAAAAGAAAAAAGGAAATCTAAAAAAAAATGGCAGGTACTGCCAAAAGTGGAATGACCACCACCAGCCAACGCGGAATACTTTATTTTTGTCGCATTTAATTCACACGGCCCATACGATGTGCTGTCGAAATGACAATATGAGCAAAAACAAAATTCAATTGTGAAATGACAGTCTTGTCTGTAATTCTGCATAAACCCAAATATAGAATGCTAGTTGAGAGTATTTACTGTTGAATAAATTTAAATTTTGAAATCTATGTGTAGTAGAATATAAATTATAAATCTTATGATGCGTTTGTTACACCTTCTTAAAAGGGATTGGCTTGGACTGGCTTAAGTAGGATTATAATCCTACATTTGGAATGTTTCTGGACTAGAATAAATGGGACTCGCTCTGACTAACAGTCCCTATGTGCTTCGTTAAAGCTCGTTATTTGGCCCAGAGCTTTCGCTTGGTATTAAGTGGGACTAAAATGGAATATGAGGGCGACGCTTGCTACACCTTGACATCTACTTTGCCTTCTTCTTCTATTGCGTCGTCATTATGGCCAGCTCGTTGGTGGTGCTTGTTTTTCCGTGGGCCAAGCTTGGGAGAGCTAAAGCTGCGCTGCTGTAGGTCAAAATTGTGAGTTGATGGAGGATCTGGCAATGCTACCGTCGGTGGGCGTTGCTGACAAGAAGAAGATCGAGAGGTTGACGATGAAGATTGGGGAGATTTGTTCAATTTTATGTGATTTGATTATTTGGTTACAGGTTGGGGAAATATGTTCATTTTTCACGCAATTTGGTTGTTAATAAGATTGAAGGAGAAAATTAATTAGTTTTTAAAAATTAAGATAACTATAGAATTAGTGAGAAATATGGTGAGATTGTGGAGATAAAAAGGCAAGTGGAGGAGCTTGCCGGAGAAATCGAGAAGGGGTAGAGCAGAGTTTGCTGGGAGAAGGATTGTAGGAAGAAATTAATTTTGATAGAAAAGAAATTTAATTTAATAAAAATTATATAGTACTTTTTTATTTATAGTCTAACACTATACCAAACATTTCATTAAGTCAATACAATTAAGTCTAGTATAAGCCAATCCAACTTAGTTCCTGAAACTAGTCTAATCCGATTTAATCCGGTGCAACAAACATACCCTTAAATTACTAACCCATCTAATGGTAAGTATAGTGGTGAACATTATCACCGCTTGGAAACAAATTCTAGCATGATGGGAACATGGACCGGTAGACTAAGTATCATAATACAAGTGGTTGGATATTCGGAAAAGAAAAACTGTCAACCACTTGTATCACGACACTTGGTGTAGTTGTTTTTTATGTTTACTAAAAAATTTCTCCACCACTTAAGGATGGTGAGCATTATCACCACTTGAGATGGTGATGAGCAAAAATGCATAGGAAAATGTTAAAAGCACATCTATTTTAGTTTTTTTCACACATTTTTATTAATTTTGTTTTTTTTTGTTTAATTTATTTAATTTTATAGCCCGAATTAAATATGTGTATGTGAGAAACTAAAAAGAGTGTGAAATGAATTGCGGGCAAAATCATACACAATCCAATAGCATAATTTGACTTCATATGAATGTGCGTTCGAGTTGAGTTCATGTGAATTAGTGAGCCATTGAGAAATTAAGTTGTTGAATTTTATTTTAAGGTTACTGTCTATACAATTGGTGTGCATTTTTAATGAGGAGATGCAAATCTGATATGCAAAAATTAATTGATATCTTAGTTTACATTTCCAAATATGTATGAGAATCGTACTCTGATAGATTTATAATATCTTAGGAACAAATTCAAATACCGTTCCGATGGACACTGCACTCGTTTCATATTCGTGAACCAAGGAAGTAGACACATTTCTTGGATTTGAGAGAGTATCTTTTCGTTCCTATGATGTTTCTTCCGCTGAGAAATGCTAAGGACTTTCTTAAGATTGGACTCTCCATCTACTCTTTGTCACCTCACAGTTTGACGTTAATTCTTATATCAACATTATAAAACATTATTTAAAAATTATGAGATATCAGATAATACATGCCGAGTTTCACTTTTAATAGAATCTCCTTAACATTTCCCTTCTTCTGGTACATGAAAACGCGAGTATCGAGTCACAACCTTGATTTCTGATAGCATTTAGAGCCTGATGATTGCGAACTTCAATTTAAGAGTTGTAGCAGCTTTTGCCTTGCTAAGATTCTCTAAATGTTTTCTTAATAACCTCCAATAGTAAGTTGTGTCACATGTTTTGGCATGAGAAGTGACTTTCACAGTCCTAGTTTCTAGTTGTATTTATCCTTTAGTATTTCTCTAAAGTTAGATAAAATTGAAGAAGTGCATGCAGAGAAAGATAGTAAGTGTAACACTACACTACTCATAACTGATTAATAAATGTGGCGCAAATAGCATATTTTAGTGTATACAATTTGAATTTTTTATTTCGGGCATTATGAAACACAATAAACAATAAAACGCATATTAATTTGACAAGCACCGACCACTTGACAATACAATTAGTAGTATCTGACAAAAAAATCAGTGTGGCGTACCAAACAGGACTTAAATGCACGAAATATGCCATCCAATTTAGCTACGTTCAGGTATGTAACCATAGGTTGTTATTACTAATTTCTGAGTATTTTTTATCTTTTTCATTTTTTATAGAAATATTTTTACGAAGAAGGAAAGCAAAATTATGAAAGAAAAAAAAAAGAAAGAAGGAAAGCAAATTAATCCCAATGGTGTGGATATCCATTTGGGATGCATGCATTAGAACACAAGGCCCTGTTGTGGAAATCACCACCAACTAATTGCTCTTTAATTTTTAAAGGGAGTATTTTTGCTCATCACCATAAATTATGGTGTATGCTCATTAACTTTTTTATCATCATTAGATGAGTTGAATTTCAAAATTCGTGTAGTAGATAAACACAAATCTTAATATTCAAACTTATCTAATAGTGATAGATATGATGGTCAGCATTACCACTATTTGAGGATAGTAAGCAAAAATGTCTGCTCAAAGAATGAATAGGAATTACTACTCAAAATTGTTCGTAGCCGATTCGTATTAATGATCTGAACATTCCATATTATATATCATTGTATAAAAATTATATATGCAAAATATCAATTAAAACTAAGATCGTATAGTCATCTAAATTGTATAAAAACAAATGAATAGTTATGATTCGAACACAAAATTTTGTGATTCGAACACAAAATTTTGTGATTCGAACACTAAAAGCTTTAAATAGAAGTTCCTGATGTGTAGCCAAACATTGGTCTTTTTTTTCCCTTAAGCATTAAGCAAGGACCACCAGCACAGCCAGCAACTTAAGCAAAAGCAGTTTTACTAAAAGCATCGGGATTCGGAATCAGTCTCAGAGATGATGAACGACGGTGACGAGGAAGCACCGTTCGACCTCGAGATCCCACTTCATCTCCGTCGTTTGCAGATGGAGGTAGCACGACGGCACATACGGCGCTATTTAGAAGCAAGAGACGACAATCTCATCCATTCCAATATCAATTATTTCAACCATAACATTGGCAATCGTTTTCGTGAGCCGTCGTCGGCTGCGGCGGCGGCGGCATCCAAGGCGTCCATAGACGCCATGCCGAGAGTGACGATCACGGTGGTCGGCGCCGACTGCGCTATCTGCATGGGGGACTTGGAAATCGGCGGTGAAGCCAGAGAAATGCCTTGTAAGCACAGGTTTCACTCGCCTTGTATCGAAGCGTGGCTGTGCCGGCGAGCATCCTGCCCGCTTTGCAGGTTCCCTGTTCCCAAGGAAGAACACCATTAGCATTAGGTTATGGCATTGTGAATTTGTGATTGTGGTTTGTTAATCTTGATTAGTCCCTTGATTAATTAGCTAATGTATTAATCTTTAGTTTTGGAATTGTCATTTTCTTTCTTAATTTTTTTAAAATGCAAGTTATCAGTTTGCTCTTAATTCAATGTAGGACACAAGGTTTTTCGTCCCTGTAGTTTTCACAAGGTTTCATTTCGCTTATTTGATTGTTGTGTTGATTTGGCTACTCACTAGCCTGGTAATTTCTTTAACTACTCGTGAATCCGTCTCAAAATGATACAAAATAACAGGATTGCGATAAACCTCTTAACAAACTGTGTCGTTATTGCATTATTAGTAAGAATACATCAACGAGTCGGGTTGTTATCAGATCATTTGTTAACAACCCAATAAGATATTGTTTGCGAGATTTAGACATTTGGCATAACAATTTCTTGCACCCGTTAAGTAGACACGAAAATATAAGATCATTTAACGAATCTGGTCGTTATCAGACTACTTCTCCAATTAAGTATCATTAAGATAACATGTTTAACACGATTTGTTAAGATAACATGCATGACACAAAAACAATACAAACGCTAAGATAACAAGTTTAACACGATCCGTTAAGATAATATGCATGACATGAAAACAATACAAACGCGATCGGATTACCATGCCTACTTATGCATGACACGAAAACATTACAAACGTTAAGATAATAAGTTTAACACGATCCATTAAGATAACATTCATGACATGAAAACAATACAAACGCGACCGGTTTACCATGCCTACTTCTCACTCACTGAGGTATAAAGTTCAATTATCCTTCTCAACAAGTTAATATAGAAAAACAAAAGAAATTGTCACGAATTGACGACTAAGCTCAAAGTGTCAAGTTCGGTTCTCCATCGGTCAATATTTCTTATATAAAAAACAGAATTAGTTGGTAATTTCATCATGTTAGTCTTTTATTTTTTATTAAAAAGATTTATAAAGATATTTCAATTCTCCGCAATTATTATCGTGTGATTTACAAATGTTAAAAATTGAAATCAAAATGTGGCGTATGCAATACACCCCATGTCAACTTGTTACGTCACCAACTAACGACTAAACTCAAGCAATCAAGAGCGTTAATATGAGTTGTAAAGTTTAATAGTACCAAAATGACGACGTGGACTTGCTATGTCACGGCTGACGACGTGGTTCCACACATGGCAACGACGTGTCGAAATTCTGAAACCCGAATCACGTGCTTGACGTGGGGGTCCCTAAGGGTTAGGATCCCCTGCTGAATGCATCATACTAAGACTCATCATATCGGGACCGTTGATTCCATTACCTTGCACCTCTAATGCTCTCTTGGCCAAATCTATGTCCTCTTTAATTTCCTTCTCCCTCCTCATTATTCGTCTATCTGTCCACGTCTAATAAATTAAGGTGACTATATATATATATTTGGAAAGAGAAAAGCATCATTTATGGGGATTAGGGAAGTTCCATGATTTGGATTGTTTATCCTACATCATACAGTTAATTTTTGTTTAGTACTATTTATATTTAATTTTAAATTTTAAATTTCAATTGATTTCTAACCGCACGATGTACGATGAATGACCCAGATCCTAGGAAAATGATCCAGCGATAATCCTTTTGCTTTATAAACTATACTTATTTTACGACTAGAGATTGTGCGTTTTTGAAAAGATTTTATTAAAACTTTAGTTTTAAGCTCACTCTCCCTTATTTTTCGCTTTTCCAGGAATTAGTGACAGAGCTCTTGTGTTGACGAAGATTTTTGACAAAAAGTGATATAGGAGATTACTTCCAATGATATAAGTTTTATTCTACTTTTATTGTACCTTACGTATATTCTAACATCACGTGTAAAATGAGTTCAATTCAGCTCACATGTGCACTCTTGTATTTAGTCATTTTCAAGTTTAAATTTATCCACATTTTCCACATCACCACATTTGTGGTTTCGTCACTTTCCTGATGTCGCCCAGCATAGCTCGATTCAGAGTTCAATGGACATTCTGTGTCAGGATGTCAATTTGGTTAACCATTTCCTTTCAATTTTTTCTTTTTGCTTGTATGTGATTTTTTTTTTTTTTAATTTTTTGTTTTGTTTAGGAAAAAGTACAGTGAAGGAGAAAGTATATGGGGTAGGACTTGGGCTGGCCGTTGGATGTCTTTGGAAAAAGATCCACGGGAATAACCAGCGGAGGACCAGAGTTTTATGATCTGCTTGCTTGATCGAGGTGAAATCAGCACCGTTGTTGCAGATGTTGATGACTAATTAAGCTCTAATCTATTTGTTTGTTAATTACCATGTTAATTACTAATTACGCTCAAATGGATCGGAGAGACTGTTTTAATTGTTAAGCTCTATTTTGTTTTAACTGTTGTAGCCTTGTCTAAGTAGGCATATTAACTAACTAACTATAACGCACTAACGCACGCTCCGAGTAATATTTTGGTTAATACTTGTTTCTGCAGGGTATATGTCTCTGTTTCCTTGTAAGCCCTTGTTAAGTTCTTTAACTTTTCGATGTGAGACAAATCTTGACGTCCTCCCTCGTCAAAGAGGATCGTCAATTCGTTATAACAAAAATGTAGCATCCGAAATTCGGAGTATCTGCGATGTCAATCGGCGTTGTCAAAGTTACACGGCAGAAAAATGAAAGAAATTAAAGAAGGAATGCACAGCCTAATACACCATGCCGCAATCTGCATTGTCAAAGTTAGCCGTAACAGGCTTGCCGGGTAATCTTATAAGTCACCGGGCAATCTCGTCTCTTTACATCGCTCATCACGTGACTAGTCTATCAATTTGACGCGACTTCCACGATTCAGATCAAGAGAGATCAGCTGAACAAGTTGCTGTGGAGTAAGCTGGTGACGAAAAATGGGTAATCAGGTTCGAAATTTCGAACCTACTTCTTCTGCGAAAGCTCTTGAGTTCTTGAATTCCCATCCGAGCTACGCGTGCCAGAGGACTCCGTGGAGGTGTAGGAGGCTTCAGGTTTTGTTAAAGCATTTGACATGGAGCTGGTTGCGCTGTACGATCTAAATCTAGTGCTAACTGGCTCTATGGTTGTAGAGTTTAAGAAAGGAGGCTGCTTTGGACTCGGAACTGCTGCCATAATTTCTCTATCGGTTAGCATTTCGACCACTTCGGCCATGGATGGTCTCAGAGCAACCGAAGCCTGCGTGCAAAGAAGTCCGATGCGAAGGACATTGGAAGCATCTCCTGCAGGAAAATCTTCTCCCAAGCAGGGATCAACGACATTGGCTAGTTCGTTCGATCTGTAGAGTTTCCAAACCTGAGATCAAATGAAAGTTTTAAACAATCTTGTCTGACGGAAAGAAGACCTGGTGAGATCTTTGTTTCGAAATTCAAATGGTTCAAAACTTACCCTGTGTAAAAGTGAATCTGGGTCGGATTCCGATCTGAAGGTGCTGTTCCTCTGGCCAGACACAATCTCAAGAACTAGAACTCCGAAGCTGTAAACGTCTGCTTTCTCTGTAAGTTGCCCTTGAATAAGATACTCTGGCGCCATATAACCGCTGTAACATGATACGATTTAAAGAATTGAGAACATATTCTACTCCTTAAGGCAGGAAGAATTGCAGTAACTCGAGTACTAAAATGTTCTGAATTTGCAAATTCTCATCAAGTGCTAAAAACTTACAATGTTCCAGCAATGCCGGTACTAATATGAGACTGCTCGGAAGCAAAACATCGAACGAGGCCAAAGTCTGCAATCTTCGGGCTGAGATTCTCATCCAGAAGAACATTGCTGCTTTTTATGTCCCTGTGAATTATTCTTACTGCGCATCCTTCGTGAAGATAGGCAAGCCCTTCAGCTGTTCCAACAATAATCTCAAACCGCTCCTTCCAGTTCAGAATCTGCACCTTGTTCTTATCTGCATAAATTAGACGAATCACATTTTCTGACTTGACTCGCAAGTAACGCTACACAAATTACATTTTTCGACTTCCTTTGTTCTATTAAAGAAAAATCATGTAGCTCGAGAGATGACAATTACCGAAAAGGAAGTGATCGAGGCTCCTGTTAGGCACGTACTCATAAACCAGCAGGCTCTCGGGGCCTTCGATGCTGCAACCCAAAAGCTTCACGAGGTGTTTGTGCTGGATTCCGCTGATCAAATTCACCTCGTTGAAGAACTCATCGACCCATTGCCTCGTATTGTAGATCAATCTCTTAACAGCTACTGTTTCACCACTCGGAAGCGTCCCCTTGAACACAGAACCGCCTCCCCCTTGCCCGATTTTTCTCGAGGAGTTGAAATAATCAGTGGCCTTTTCGAGCGTTTCGTACCTGAACTTCAAGCTAGAGTACTTGTTGATGCTTGTTGCAGCCAGGCCTACATTGCTGCGCTCTGGACAAATAATGGCATATGTTAAGACATCTGGTATGTAATTCTTATAACTTAAAATCTAAATCTATATATGCAGACGTGGCCGTAGCCGCATTGACTAGTGCAGATCCGGTTCCTTTATGCACCCGAGTTTGAATTTTCAACTCCCGTCTTAAAAATTAGTTCGAATAGAATATCGTTTGTATTGGGAAAGCTAAAGAATGCCAAATTGTACCTTGTTTAATCCTTGCCAATTTTGCGTAGCCTGCATAAGCACCAGAGAGAGAGAGCAGTAGGAAGGCAGCTGCTGCCAGAATTACTGCTATGATGATTCCTCTGCTTACTGACAGCCCTGCAAATACAAAAATGGAAAATTGGAATTTAAGACAATTGGGTTATAAAATTAAAATAATAAAATAACTGTTCAGTTGTAAACGTCTAATCTTTTAATTTCTGTTTGGTCACCCAGAAAATGTGAGAAAATAGAAAGTGAGGTTCAAATTCTGAAAAAGTGAGAAAATAACACTTCCCTTAAAATTGCTTAGGAAGGTCAAAAACGCTTTCACACAACCGTACCAAAAGCATTTACGTTTGACAGAAAAAGTTAAAAGTTCTTATGGATTGCGGAATTATTTAGTCCTACCTATGAAAATAAAAAATTCCAATTCAAAAGCTCAATTATATTTAATTAATTCATAAACCCATGGAAAAAAAAAAAACCCTTTAAACTAAAATATATATAAAATAAAAAAATAAAAAAACTTTAACTATAATTACCATGGCCATGATCTGCAACCTGCTCTGCTCCTCCGGCATCGTTATAAAATTTCTCAGTCGAATATCTCAGGTAACACCCAGCATTCAAAGCCCTCCCTTCCTTGCTGGGTGCACACCCCATCGCCGCCTTCCTTCCCTTCTCCAAGCAACTTTGACACCCAGCACTCCCCACAGTCTTCCAGCACTGCGCCAGAGCAAACACCGACCCCTTCACCTCCGCCACTCCAAACCCGCCATTTCCCGCCGCCGCCGCGGTTGCATTCCCGATCGCAAACCCAACATTCCTCCCAAACTCCTCCTTTTCGATTTTTTCCTGTTTCGACTGGCCGCAGACCACGGTGTCGCGAGAAGGGTCGGTGGATTGGCGGTAAAATCTGTAGGAATCGTAACGGAGGAAGCACCCGTCGAGAAAAATGGTGGCGGCGAGGGAGGGGAGGCAGCTGGGTATTTTCGTACGGCTGGCGGCGTAGCAGAGGAGGCAGTCGGTGTGGGAGAGGTCATTGAAGCATTGGGCTAGGCCGTACATGGGTGTCGTGGAATTAACAAACTGGGTACCCCAATGGTGGGTCGATATCTGCTGAGAAAGGCCCTCCATTTCTTTGACGAAAGTCGGGATAAAGCTCTGGTTCTGCCCCGGTTTCCGGCTGCCGCAGTAGAGGCTAGCTTGGGTCGTTCTGGGATCGGAGACGGCGGAGGAGAAAATGGAGAGGAGGAAGAACACCCATGTCAAGATTTTGGTACACATGACTCGCTTTGCTGCCAAAAATCACAACCGAAAATCTCACGACGCAACAGCTATATCAGCCACCAAACACCGCCGACCAGACGGAGGAGCTTGGTAGACGAACTCAAACGAGCCAAATTATCAGCAACAAAACTTATTTAACGATAAATATGTCGAATTTCACAAGATCAACTCCGAAGAACAATGCGGAATCGGAATATGCAGAGCACAAGAGAAAATTGTTGGGTGGAATAAATAAATAAAGGGGTATAATTAGTGGAAGAAAGTGAGTGAACGGATGAGATCATCCTTTTCTTCTTCTCCTTTTCAATGCTGGGCCAGGGCGGTAGTTGCAGGTATGGAGGCTGCCGCTTCCACCCACCAGTGCCACGTGTGCTGCAGCTTTTGGCTCAGAAATATTAATAAAATAAATAAACCAAATTTATTTTGATGTGTTCGTCCGTCTGAAAGACCGAAAGCTTTTGCTGCGGAGGCACCGTCTTTGGTGGGGCCATTTGTTGGACTTGCACCTATATTATTTTACAGAGATTCTCTTCCGATTTCTTTCATCAAAATTTAAGGGTAAAATTTTTTGGTCTTATAAAATTTGATACAACGATTAAATTATTATAATTTTTAAAAATGATTTTTTTTTTAACCGTTTGATCAAATTTTAAAGGTTCGGATCACTTGATTCGTGAGTTTTGATTGAAGAGATTCGATTATGATCTCTTTCCTTATTTTAGAGGTCGGTCATAATTATGCCACGTGTACTCCCGGTTTGTTTGGTGCTTAAATTCTTTCTTGAGTTAAAGTCAAAAGGTGCAAAAGGTACGTCTTGTTTTTTTTGATGGGGTAAAATTGTATTTAAAATGCTTGTTTACTTATTTAAAACGTAAATTATGTTTAATATTTTAGGTACTAGATTGTATATTTCAATTTACACAGACGTGTTTGTTACATAAAGAAAATAAGGGTGGATCTGTGGCACAAAATTTTTTTTTTACATAATTTTTTACACGTTTTTTTTATTCTCAGTAGTAATGTATTTCAACGATTTGAATCTTTTATCTTTTAAAACATCATCATAGATAATTTTTTTTTAAATAGATAAATCTAAAATTATTAAGACATTCATTTGTAATGAAGAAAATAAACGAATACGATTCTACAAAGAAACCCTAAACCCTTAATCCAACAGTTAAATGATTTCAGATTTGAGTGATTTTATTGGTAAGCATGATCTTTGAGAGAAGACCTAAAAGATAAACAGTTTAGATCATTGAAATATATTATAGAGTGAACCTCAAAAAAACTTATGTCAAAAATTGTATAAAAAAATAGTGTTACAAATTCACCCTAAAGAAAATTATTCCAATACACAGATGAAGATTTGGCTCAAATATAAATAGCGTAGTAATTTTCACTCCCTACGCCCTCTTTTGTAACAGGTTTGAATTAAACAAACAAATGAAAATAAACAATTAGAAAATCGCAAAAAGAACAAAAAAAATGTTAAAAATAAAAACATTTACATGTAAAAAGACGAGCACGCTGTCCTGAACTTGTAATTTACATTCCATATCAGAAAGGATGGTCATGATCCTTTTGGTAGATGGACAAAGTTGGACCTTGAAGCATACAGTCATATATGAACGCAGAAGGGTCTGGACATGAGAATTCCACAACTTTAGAGAAACGTGTATAAAAAAAATGTAATGATCCAATTGTGGAATTTGGTAATAGAGACTGTGATTGCTTTTGGAATTGTACCTACCTCCTTTTTAACTTTTGAGATTTGATTTGAATTTTCTTTTCACGTAAAGGTATTGTTGGAATTATGCTACTACTATATAGTTTTTCAACGATATCAGTGTTATCAATTTACTCGTGTTATTATTATATATTTTGTTTTTGAAATTTAATTATGTTGTTTACTCTATGCATGTGGATTGATAACCGCAGATAACGGCAGAATCATCAAAAGCTTGAATATTTATTTCCTTTACAAGACAATTTTTTGGATGCCAACCTATATATTACCTGTTTAAAAAAAAAAAATAATAAAAATAAACGGTCAAAAGTGGCTTTTAAAAATAGTATATTTATATGAGTGAAAAAAAATAGTATTGAATATGTCATCCACTTATTTAAATCTTAACATTAGTGAGTTTTTCTTTGAGAAAACTTCTATCATATGTGGAAATCATTTTGTTTTTAGTTATAAACTGCAATCCACGAGATTTAAACTCAATACCTCTTTGAACAAAATAAAAATAAAGTGACGATTACATCAAATTTATTAGTAAGGGAGTGGGGAAGGGTTCGAAACTATTACAATAATATAGAAGAGATGGAGTTTTGAATCCGTGATGCATGAGCAGAAACCCAATACCCTATCCACTAAGGTCACATCCAACCAAAAAGACTAAACATAGTCCCGCCAGAATTATAGCCTTGCAAAAAATTATTTTTAAATTAATAGTGTCAGGCCACTCATATATTATCTCTAACCGAAGGGGCTAAACATAGCCCTCTTAACAATTTATTAGTTTTAAGTTTATATTTTAAATCCATTGGGTAATAGGTTAAACTACAGTTAATTGTTTTCAACTTTAACTGTTGAATTTAAATCAATTATTACAATCGAGAAGATGAGTCTAAAAAAAAGGCTAAAACAGAAGGCTACACTTGACAAATTTGGCTATTTTTCAACTTTTGGACATTTTGCCCTGCCCAAGTGGAGATGGCCTAAGATATTGGACTGTATGATCATGTGCTATCCAGCCTTTTTAGGAAAAGGAATTGTTACTAATTATATGTATGACTTAAAAAGTTGGCATACAAAAGTCTTGAACCATTTGACATTTAGCACCCTCGTTTTGCATAATTACAATAAAATACACCCGAAGAAGGGACCCAAAAAAAAGAGACTTCCTTTCATCATTACAAATTTACAATAGGCCATAGCTTTGTCAAATGACATTGGTACCCTCCAAAAAAAAAAAACATTTATAAATTGTTTTTCTCTACCACATCGTTTTCAGGCTTTCTGATTCAAAAAATCAAATCAGATCAGGATCAGGTTTATTTCAGTGGCAAGAAACGTCTCTTAATTTGGTGGGATTCCAACAGCCCTTCAAAGATTTTATGCCGTTAGTAAAACACCGCCTCTCACGTCGCTGTTACTAAAACACCGATTTTCAAAGATTTATGTTGTTGGTAAAACATCGTCTCTCACGTCGTTGTCAATAAAATACCATCTACCACGTTACGTCAAACGGTAGAAAATTTCATTAAATTCGAAGGCCAGTGTTTACGACAGATTTTTCAGTGTGCTCAAAACACAGACATATACATTTTATGTCATTATACTAGTGAAAAAACACTTTATAAGAAATCCCTCCACTTGTATTACATATGACGTACCACCCCATCTTGCAAGCACACTAAAAAATCCCTCAGTGTTTACGTACATCCTTATAATGTTAAACAACATCAGTCTCTTAAGTCTTGAAAATCCATCACCGCAACATACCCTAGAAGTTGATTGTTAGAGTTGAGAAGTTACACTTAAATTTTAGGAAGTTTTAAAGAAACACTCATGGTACTGTTCATTTTTAACGTTAAGGACATTTTTACTTTAAAAAGTAACTCCTGGTACTATTCACTTACAACACATTTTTGTTCTTTTGGTTAAAACTCAAAGTTTTCAAATTATTTTCATTAATTTTCCTTAATTTTATTGGGACCCAATTGGTGCGATGAGCAGATCCAAAGTCTTGATAGATGAGAGAAGCCTTGTTGGACCATGCCGGCCCATCCATTTTGGCTTGAAGCTTCGGAATACAGGGCTTGGCCCAAATCTACAGTTACATGTTCTGGCCCAAATTTCATCCCACAACATCTAACCGTAGAGGTACCATAAGTGAAAAAATAAACCTAGAGCAGGAAGGTATAAGCAACAAAAAATGTGGCAATAAGTTCAAAGAGCTTTGCGAAGACTGATCGGAAACCCAGCTACCGCTACCGGCGTTTCCAGATTCGAACAGGGGTTGCGAAATGTTACTCGAAAGTAACAAAATCTTCCAACCGGATTATATGAAACCTGCGTGAGCTCCCGCTGCTGAGACCAGAATTACCTACCTCTACCACGACAGTCATCTATGTGACAAAATTGTCATAAATTAACGGCCTGTACAATGCTACTCTTCATCATCCACCAGAGACATTACTGGAATCCCCTTGCCAGAGAAACTAACACACTCAACTCGCAGCTCGTCATTGACTTCAAAGTCCGTCCTACCATTTGTCTGCATGACAGAACAGTGTTAGGGAACACAGGGCTTACAAATTAAAAGGAGCCATTCTTTTGGTTGAGTTCATGGTTATGTATAAAAAACAAGATGAGAAGTACCTCAAACCGATACATTCCACGAAGTCCCCCACCGAGGTCAAGCACCAACCCTCCTGTGCGGATCTGATAAACCTTGGCAGTAACTTTTGTTCCTATCTTCAGACTTTTTTCGGTTACAGAGCCTCCAACTTCAGCTTCCTTATCTCCTCCCTTCTGTGAGGACGACTTTGATGTCTTCACATTACTAGTTTTTGACTTAGTAGTATCAGAGTTTTGAACCAAACCAGCAGCTTTTTCCACCTCGTCACACTCTGCAGCACTTCGAATTAGAATCGGAGTAGAGGAAGTAGATGAATTTATCCCGCCAACTTCACAATTGTTTGCTGGCAATTCCTCAGATGACGAGCTCTGCTTTTCTTGTCCATTAGACAAAAGGTCTCCAGCTGCTGCCCAAATACTAGGTTCTTGGGTTGATGAAACGGATTCCTCAACCGCATTATTTGTCTTGGATCCAGATCGAGGTAAAGTAGCTTTAAGGGATAGTTTAATGTTACCGCGAACATCCTGACCTATGCACATCAAGGAAAGCTGTTCTCCAACAGCTACCACATCTGAAACCCGAGATACCTGATATAGGGAATGCTATAGATGTCAGAAAGATATCGATCACAGAAGAGAGGTTAGATATCTCCAGTGATACGTATAAAGTTGTTCCATAAACATTTTATATAGAGCGGGCGCAGGGAGGAATCGGTATTCTAAAGGAAAATGCATTTGTTGTACATACTGGTGTTTGCGACAACTCAGAAATGTGCAGAAGGCCTTGCTGACCACCATTAAACTCCACAAATGCACCATATTCCTTGACTGAAGTTACCCTTCCCTTATAGATCCCACCAATTTCGATCTCACGCCCAAGTATAAAATCAACCTGAAGAACAGAATAAACAAAGATCCATCAGATATATAAGGCTTCCATAGAACTCCAGGCATAGAAAAACAACATTATAATCAGCTCAAGAAATATAATAGCAAATTGAGAGGCAGAAATACCTTTTCTAGTACTTTCTCCATTACAGATTGATTCTTAGCAACTATGGTCAGTGTTCCATCACTTACAGACATCCGTGCACCTGCGGTGAGATTGACAGAAGTATCTATCAGAGACACAGCATAAATATAGTTCTAAATAAACAACATTTTGTACAAAAGAAGTGCAGAACATCATTGTTGTTGTTTGTTGAAAAGGAAAGAAAAAAGAAACGGACCAGTTTCATCTTCAATTTTTCTTTTTAGAGCACCGAGAGGCCCAAGCAAGCGACGAAGTGCATCATTACTGTACTTCAAGGTAACTGCACCATCAATTTTAGAATTGGAAGCTCAATATACACATATATATTATTGCCCAAGTGATGTCAACTCAGTAAAAACAGAAGACAAAAATAAATAAATTGAAAACTCAACCTAATCGTGGAGAATTTCTATCATCCTGAGTGCGTGGTGTACTGATCTCTCTCTCCATGTGGTCAAGAATTTGAATGCGACCTTTGCGTGCAGGTTCTAAGCTTTCACAGACAATATCTAAAGGAATTCCAGCGGGTTTTATATCCAACTGAATAGCTGTAACTCCATTTAGTGTGCCAGCAATTTTAAAGTCCATGTCCCCCAAATGATCTTCCAGGCCCTGAAAAAATTATCTTTCTAAGGCGACTAATAATATAAATAAATTATAAATATATTGGTACATTTCTTAAAATCTGGAATCACATAACCACAAGTAGTAGCTATAAAATGTTCAAATTAAAGGACAATGAAGAAAATAAGCAAAAAATAAAAAATAAAAATACATGCATAATTTAGAAAGAAGATGACAAAGTGAAGGTTTGCGTTAGGGGTTTAAAGATGTATTAATTTCGAGAATAAAGGAAACCATTGAGCATTTTCATAAGATCACCATGCAACAGGTAAACTCAACATAAAGCCAAGTAAAACTCTCACCAGAATATCAGTCAGTATACGGTACTCCTTTATTGAGCCAGTTGATTGATCAACTTCACTAACAAGACCCACCGAGACACCAGCTACATGTTCACGCAATGGAATGCCAGCATCCATCAGAGCCATACTGCCTACAGAACAAATGATAACTTAAGAGCTATGCAGATACTATATTCAGGATCATGCATAATTTTGAAGGTTAAAGAAAGAGACTTATGGTGTTCATATACACAAAATGAACCTGAAACTTGACGAGAGTATCTTTTTCTATCACGTCAATTATTTAGCACCAGAAAATGTACAAAAAAACTAGTTTGCAAGGATATAACTATAACTGAAAACTAGTTTGATAATAGCTGATAGAAAAGTAAACTCAAAAGCATACCTCCACAGACAGTTGCCATTGATGTTGAACCGTCAGAGGCCATTACTTCAGAATTGATACGAACAGTATATGGAAAATCATCTTCTGGAGGTAATACAGCAAGAAGAGCTTTTTCCGCCAGAGTCCCTACAATTCATTGAAAACCCACTACAAATCGTTATAATTATTAACGTGTTAGCATATCAAGCTTAAACTTTTGAGCTTTAGATACTGTGACTAGATATATAAAATATAAATCAAGTTTAAATTTTGAGAATGTGATCTCACATTCATGATCCCAGACAAACCATAGCCACTTATCTATGTGAACATATAAAATCATATTTCACTAATTTTAATGTGTCCTATTTAAAAAGTGGGCAATGATTACCATGACCAACTTCACGCCTATTCAAGCCGCCTCGTTTACCAACTTCATTAATACAGAAAGGGGGAAAGCTGTAGTGAAGCATGAAACGTTTTGTTGGAGGCCCAACCAGAGAATCCAATCGTTGAGCATCACCAGGCGCCCCAAGTGTTACAGTACAAAGAACCTGTTTATAACACCAGATATGTACCATGAGTTGAAGCAAAAGTTTTAAATACTGCCAACTCCAGTGTTCTAAATCCATATTTCATACTGACCTGTGTGTCTCCACGAGAAAAAAGTGATGATCCATGCAGCATAGGCAAATGACCAGCTTCACAATACAAAGGCCTAACTTCATCAAGACGCCTCCCATCAAGTCTGACTCCTTCCGCAATAATTCTTTTACGAACAACCTAATTTTTTTATGAAACATTTTGAAATAAGTGAGAACCAAAATAAAATAATGTGTTTTGTGCCAGAAGTATACTGCTGAGAAATAAAGAGAGGAAGCCAGCAGCTCCTAACAGAAAACCAAACTACCCAATTCAGAATAATGTGACCCCCAAAATCAATTTTCCAAGTGCCCATATTCCTTTTATCATGTATAGGTAGTAACCGACTACATTGGAAAATATATTGGTTCTTGAAGATAAAGTTTTGACTAAGGTGATGGATGCACACAGATGTATAACTATGAAAGTAAACCAAGAGGAGAAAACAAGATGCAGCCACCAATGAAAACTAAGAATTGTAAAAAAAATAAAAACATATCTCCTAGTCAGTATCCTATCAAACATAAAAATAAATAAAAAATTGCTAAAATACTTGATTCTGTCTAGCTTCATTTTGGCATGACTTACCTTTTTCCTCACAGTATCTACTGCCTTTGGTAGAAGTTTCAAGCTTTCTTCATCACACTCTTCTTCAAGTACTTTTCTCACGTCTTGTGTAATATTCTCTAAGGCCTCTCCACGTTCAAACTGGATGTTGAAGTAGTCCACAATTTAAGACCCGAAAGAAGACACCATACAGAATTACCGTACAGACACAGAGAGGAGACAGAAATCCGAAAAAAGAAAAAAGAATATATCAATATCCACATATAAATGGCACGCACCTTTCCATATGATGGATCAGTGAAAACGGCTTCTATTGGAGCTTCTGCCAATTGACTGACTTTCTCCAATGTTCTATCTGGCATCATTGACAATTTATATTCCTTCTTATGCTTACCAGCTTTAGCAGCCAGTTTGATTTGAGGTTCAATATATTTAACTGCCTGATATCACAGTTCAGTTGCTTAGTAGAATTCCACAAATAAAGATACTTCACAAAATAGTTGCTGGTTTCACAACTTACCTCGGGATGAGCTAATCTTAACCCTGCTTCTAGATCTTTTTCTGAGATCTCACGAGCCTGCACATCAATCATTAACGTTTTGTCTCTCGTACAGGCATACACTAAGTTGAGATCACTCAAGCTAAGCTGCATTTACACATAATAAGTAACAATTAGATGTCCACAATCTGTGAGGAAACAAAAGGATTTAGAAACATAAAAACAATAAGGGCAAACGAAAGACAAATAAGAATTGATATTAAGCATTACCTCATCCATAGTTGGATTAACAATAAACTTCCCAGCAATCCTGCCTATACGAATCATGCCAATGGGGCCACCCCAAGGAATATCTGATAACATAAGCGCAGCAGATGTAGCATTAGCTACCAGTACATCTGGATCTTGCTTTCCATCAGAGGAAAGAACACTTGCTGTTACCTATATATGAATATCAGGAAATAAATATTCAGGGCCATAAGACTATAAGCGCACGATTGCTACAAATGGGTATCCATCAGAAACTGAAAAAGGCAACCCAAAGATTAACATCATACCTGAACTTCATGGAAAAACCCAGCAGGAAATAGCGGACGTATTGGTCGATCAATGATACGACCACATAAGAGTTCACGCTCCTTCGGCGCACCCTCCCTTCGCATGAATGTGTTCGGAATTACTCCTTGGGCAAATTGCTTCTCTTGATAATCAACCTTACATTTAAAATACCAAAATCCAATAAGAACACACAAAATGATCAACAAACATGCATACAATGCTATCATTTGTGTCCCATAACAATTAGCAAGCAGATCTTTTTCTGCCAGAGTTCCGACATTTCATTTCGAACCAGCTACAAATTTTATAATTAATCAATTAATTACTTATTTTAAAAATTATGATCACATTAAATGGTTAAATTATCAAACAACTAACTGCTTTACATGGCTCAGTTCATACGATCAGTGGAAATTCAAACAACCGAATAATTTGTGCAATCAACGGAAAGAAATAAAAACCCAGATGTAAGTTGAATTAGAAACATACAGTTAGGGGCAGAAAATCGCGAACGGCGTCGCCTTTGGCGGCGGCCACGGTGGATAATACTTTGGTCTCCTCCATGCCCAAAACAACGGCACCGTTAGCGAAGCGAGCGATCTTTCCCGTTTCGAGCGTAATTAATCGATCTCCGACTTCAAATTCTTCTCTGAAAGTCTCGAGCACCTTGGTGCCGGCGACGGGGGTTTCGGGATCAGGCTGCCGCTCGGACTGAGACGAGAAGCCCATGCGGCCGCTGCAGATGGTGCGGAACCCTAAGGCTCGCCATGTGAGGAAGTGAGGGAGGTTGTTGAGCAGCGGATTGGCTCGGTTGGCCATGGACGCCATGGCTGTTCAGGAAATGAGGAGAGAGAGAGAGGAGGTGTCGAGGGTTTAGGGTTTAAGAGTTTTTAGCGCGGGATCGAAGGCGGAGGGAGTGAGAAGTGGAGAGTGGAAAATTCTTTACCCAAAAAGGGGAAGAGGGTTTTGTGTTTGGATATGTTTCGGATCGGGCTGTCGAAATGGAAGTGATTTCTACTGAAAACGGGCCTGTATTTTATGAGAAAGGCCCAAAAGTAATATGGATCTGAGACAATTGAATGAGCCCGCTGATTTTGGCAAAAGAACTTTGTTGTTTTAAATAATTATTAATGTTGGTTACGGAATATTATTTGCATTTAAGTTCGAATTCTCATCCCATAGCTTAAATTGTATTCGTTAGTTAAATTAATAAAATGTTACTTTTGTAGCTACATATTACTTAAACGCAAGGAACAATTCCACATACATTCAAATTACGTCATATCAAAATTGTAAACGACCATTTGCTTACTATTCGAGTCTCGAGATATCGATATAACTAGACTATTTGCTACATTAACAATGCTATTTGATTGGGTTATGTTAGAAGCCAGAATTCAAATAAAACATATATAGGTAGACCATACTTTAATTTGTACCATATTTGTGTATCATCTGATGTGACAAGTGATGTGTACATGTCACGTCAAGTAGTGAATTCATCTCATTGGATGTTGGTCATATGAATCACTTGCTACATAAGATAATACACTAATATATGATAAATATGTAGTTTTCATAATATTACTAAAATAAAAATACAAACGAGGGATATGCTCACATTGTGGATAAGGACTTGCCCTACGCACTTCAAAACGCTACTGTAACATTCCGCACCAATATTAACACAAGTCACATATATATTTACGTTCTTAGATCCGTAATATGATTGATTTGAGACATTGTGACGATTCCTTTCATATAAATCATTCTTTCACGTGCTGAAAGCCAGACAATGTGAGAAGCTATAACTGGGAGTTAGACTATGGTCCACACCATGCACATTCAAGGTTCAAACAAGTAACAAAGGGATGAAAAAAGGAATCTTAGGTTCTCAGCGTACCATGCTAAACACCAAAAAACCCTAAAAAGCAAAACCCTAAAAGCCCATTTTGTTGCTGAATTCACTTTGTCCCATTACATTCCATAACACTGACTCTTCAGCTGGGTTTACTGATTTGCTGGGATTTCGTGGGGTATATATAATGAGTCGCTGTCCTCTCAGCTGGCGGTTACAGAGAGTAAATATATGATATATCCATAGTTTTTTATACCAGCGATATTATGGGAAGGACGATTCAAACTCGAAACCTCGGGTGCAAAGAAGAATACTGTTTTTCATCAACCAAGCTTTATAAGCGTAAGAAGCCGGCCCCTTGCAGTACGCATAAATTATATCAACGGGCCACGGTTGGGAAAATCAGATAAAAAAAAGGAGATTTCCTCTGCTGTGATATCTCATACAATCAGATGAACAAAAGAGAGGTTTGGATTTGTCGTTTTGCTTGTGAAACAGACAAAAGAGGAAGCTTTTTTTCTTGGCATCTTGTTGTTTAATGTCCTTTTTCGATTCCTATAAGGCTTCTCTAATCAAGTTGAAATCTCCAGCTGGGTGTGACAGATCACTCTTTTTTTGGCAGCTGCCTATTTCCCAACTTTTCAGATTTTTCTGTTCGAGTCGTAGAGATTTTTACATGTAACCAGAGATATATCGCATTTCTATCTTACTAACCCTAGCTAGAGAAATAGAGACCATGGAGTTATATATATTCTCGGTTACATCCGAAGTTTTTTTTTAGGAAAACTAATGAAAATGGCTTGAAAACTTTAAGTTTTAATGATAAGGACAAAATAAAGGGTAAAGTGAATAGTACCAGCATTGATTTTTTAGTGTAAAAATGTGGTTTTTCGTTAAAGTGAACAGTACTGGGTGCTTTTCGTTAAAGTTCCTTTTTTTTTATGTCATATATCACCATATCCCTCTCACTAACCCTACCTAGATGATGAGGTTATATTAATTAATGTTACACCCAAGTTTTTATCGTGCCGGATTTTTACCTTATGAGACTAGAACACGATATATATTTCAGTTTTCACTCGAAGGAAACTTACGTACTAGAAAATTTAGGGCATGTTTGGTACTCTACTTAAATCCAACTTTTTAAACTCAAAAACAATTTTCAAGTTTTAGGCATTAAAAACTTGTTTGGCAAGACTATTTTCAAAAACCAAACTCAAGACTAACTTAAAAATATAGTATATTCTCTAAAAACATAAAAAAAATGAGTTTTTAGAGTTTTTAAACTTACACTCATTCATTTCTTTTCTCTCCCTTCTCCCCTCCCCCACTCCAAATCTATCTCTCTCTTTTCTTCTTTCTTTTTCCTTTTTTTTACCTTTTTTCGTCTCTCTTCCAATCCGTTATCTTCATTCTCTTGGTTCTTTCTCTCACTCATCTTCCTCTTTATCTCGTCCGATCCTCTCCCTTCTTTCTCTTTCTTTCAATCTTCTCTTACTTTATTTTCTCCTCTCTCCTCTTTCTCTCTCCTCTTTCTCCCTCTCTTACGACCTTCTCTTTTTAGATCTCTTTGTCTAGTTTAAGTCGTAAGGTTTAAAATTTTTAAATCGCAAATCAATCGCTTTTTTGAATCTTAAAGAAAATTGTTTTCAAGAAATGTTCTTAAGTAATGTTTTGAGAAATGATAAAATTTTCAAATAAGATACCAAACAGGCCGTTACCTTTTCTTTATAAAATTTTCATTTAGTTTGTCTTTGGTTTGGTCCTTTCTGATCATATGTCAAAGTCGGGAAGAATGAAGATTGGTTGTCAACAGGGCTTTTGAAAGATGGTTCACAGGACATCCTTGGTTCAAATATTCCGTTTCAGACTCCATGCACAGTGTATTTTTCTTTCTCAATCAAAATTACGTATGATATGAAAAAAGAAATGAACTTGGAAGTAAAATAGCTATCACTACAGTAATATACTATTTGCCGGACGAAAAGTTGTTGTCGGGCAAGTTTTATACGACGGGATAATTGGTTGATGGACTTTAATCGATGAATTCAATTTCAGTGGACAAAAATTTGAGCGACGAGTTTTGCGCGACGAAATTAATTTGTCAAAAAAAAGGGATTTTTGTAGTGTATGTCTTAATCGACATCTAATCTAATTTAAACAAAAAGAGTATAACTTTTTTGAGGAACACATATAAGTTGTAACTCCATTACTGTATAGAAAGAATTACAAGGTTGGGAGTTGAAATGGCATCTGAAAAAAAATCTTTCTCGGAGAAAACCCGGTGGAAAAAAACCCTAGTTGAGGAAAAAGAGAGCCTCCCACATTGCATATCAGCATAGAGCACATCATAAAGCCCGGAGGTTCTTCAAACCAACAGCGCTCCACACCAATATGTAAATAAAGTCGTGCCACATATAGTGATCTACACCACTGCTGCGAACTTGAACTGCTTGAAGGACCCAGCTGGAGCCCTGCACATGAACTGCTTGAATCGTCAAAAAATGAATGTTCGATCACCTGTTGTGAAGCGGGTTTGCACCATACGGTGTGATTCTCTTCTGTTCTTCGTCGGGAACATGATTAGGAGCAGCTGGTCGTCGGAAGCCATGGTTGCTAAATCTTCTGTGCTTGAAGAACTCGTAGTTTCTGCCATTAATCCGAGAACTAGTGTTGTTGTAGTTGAAGTTCCGTACTTTGAAGGAAACCCTTCCTTCTGGTGAGCCTGACGACCTTACAGAATACTCCTTCACGTTGGTTCTAAAATGCAGCAAAGTTCCTTCCAATAGCATAAACACAATGAGAACTGCAATTTTTGATTTAGTGTACCTCATAACTCTCTCTCTCTCTCTCTCTCTCTCTCTCTCTCTCTCTCTCTCTCTCTCTCTCTCTCTCACACACACACACTAGACACACGCATATACAAGCATGTTCAAGTGTATTTATAGGTGGGGCTAAAAGATTGTCAAATCTAGTTGAGATAAATTTAACTAGTCTCGAACTACAAACACGTACTCAATACAAACACTTAAAAATATGGTCCATTGAGTGACGTATTTGACTTAATGAGTAGTGTGGCGCGATACCACTACAAGATTGGTCTGCTATACTATCAGATAAGTCATTTGTGAATGTTCGTACTCAAGTATGTGTTCGTATTACAATTGAACCCAACAAAGATTTAGATAAACTAATAATTTAGATACTCTAACCCTTCCAATTAAAATCGTAATTTTAATTAACTGAGTTCTAAGCAACCCTACAATAATTGTAATACAAGCTAGGAGTTTAACTCCAACAAGCCGTTTGCTCTTATGGACTTATGCGTGATTGGTATATAAGCAATTGCTTTGTTCAATTATATTAGAGAAAATCGAACTCTAAACCTGTCATAATCTTCGTTTATCATCCCACCAGTCCCTCGCCACCTAACCCAATAGCTTGACCAATTCCAACACTTTCCTTACTAACAATACCACAATTCTATTTAATTATCCGAAATCAAACTCTTCTTGAAAGAACATCTATAAAAAGACAAAGTCACTTTGTACTACGGTTTAGTGGTATTAAAAGGTCTTAAATTCAATTCTCACAAAAAACGAATTTGAACCATATTATTGTTAATTCTTTGTAAAACTAAACTAACCCTTTATTTTTTAATGTAGTTAATATCGTTTGTTTAAAAAAAAAAATATAAAGATAAAACTTGAAAAAATTGTAGGCCCCGCCACAAAAAAATAATAGGTGAAATTGTTTATGCCGAGGCTTACAGGGAGGCCTTTCAGCCCAGTAAAGTTGGCCTGGACTCCGAACTATGGACCAGTGACCACTACTAGACTTGGGGACCATCACTACATGTGCTAGCTCACACCGTATCATCGGCTCAATCTTCTAGATTATTGAGAAATGCTATAGCAAATTTTGTTGGAAATTATATATTATAATATGAAATATTGTAATATATAATTTTAATAATTGAATGAAAAATAGTGTTAACCAATTTCTTAGAAAGGTTATGTTGTTTAGGTGTATTCCCTTGATAAGTGATGTATACTTATAGATGAAAAGTTACATCTCT